GGTGATGGTTGCACAATAGTGTGAATGTACTTACACTATTGAACTGCACACCTAAAGATGGTTAAAGTGGTAATTGTTATGGTATGTGTATTTTACCATAATTTTTAAAAAAGAGTATCCCACTGAGGTCTGGGTTAGAGTTATTAGAAGGCTCTGTGAATGAGTAAAAAATTCCGCCTTTGGTTTTAATCTAAGTTTTGATTTCTTTTCACAGTGCAGCCTTCATATTCACGCTTCCTACAGCATCTCCCAAAAACTAAACGTTCCAATGGCCCCCCTCTCAGAGCCAAATGCCGTGGGCATAGTCATCGCACATGGTAAGGAGCCTCCCCCCCTCCTCGGGAAGAAGTAGCTGAGCACACTGACACTCAGACTTCATTCCCCTATAAGAAAACCACCGCACATGGCTTTTACCATCCTCTGGAGGATTTCTTGCATGATAATGGTATTTGGGGTTATTTCACAGACACCCATCAGAGAGAGTAACATGACTTTCCCCTTTCCCAAATCTTCAGTGGCCTTTTTCCTATCACAAGAGGCATGATGGGAAGTAATCAGAAGAAATTTACTCAAAATTAGCCTCTTGGCAGTAAGTCCTGTCTGTTTCGTTGCTGCTCTGTGCTGAGGAGACGATGGATTGTGTTGCAGGTAGCGTGGGAGATGCCATCTCAGTCATGGTCCCGGACGTGTACATCTCAGATGATGGGGGTTACTCCTGGACAAAGATGCTGGAAGGACCCCACTTCTACACCATCCTGGATTCCGGAGGCATCATCGTGGCCATTGAGCACAGCAGCCGTCCTATCAATGTGATTAAGTATGCATGAGCTCAGCTCCACCCACACTTTCTGCATAAAGGGCAACTGTGGGAAGTATTCCAGTTCACTGGGGGGAAGTTGCACGCCCTGATTTAAATTCGTGCATTCTGCAGAACTGTAGGGAAGGTTTTTAAAGGGATTGCATTTAGAGCAACTCAGATTAAATGGCTTGCTTTTTCCTCTGACTTC